CGAACAGGCAGGGGAAACTAACCTTATGTCAGTTGTTGGGGTCAGTACATGTTTAGGAATAGTACCCAGCTCTCACCACCACCTCTGTAACCAGACTAATTCCTCAGTTAATGCTTCCTGGTATTATGTCCTTCCCAGCAATGGTTGGTGGGCTTGCTCCACCGGGCTCACTCCTTGTGCACACAGGCAAATCCTCAATCAAATTAATGACTATTGTGTTTTAGTTCATGTGATGCCAAGAATTTTGTACCATGATTATGATAATTTCCTAGATCAGTGGGACCTCAACCCGCCTAGATATAAGAGGGAGCCCGTCACGGCTGTCTCCCTCACCGTACTGACATTATTATAGTCAACTGAGAGCCGCCATAGATCAAGATATAGAAAGACTCGAATTGTCCATTTCTAAGTTGCAAGAGTCCTTAAACTCATTGGCTGAGGTCACTCTACAATTAAAGAGAGGACTGGATTTAGTGTTCCAACAGCAAGGTGGAGTCTGTGCGGCTTTGGGAGAAGAATGTTGTTACTATGTTGATCATTCAGGAATAATCAAAGCTGCTATGTCCAAAGTAAGAGAGGGACTCGAGACTAGAAAAACAGAATGAGCTAATAGCCAAGGATGGTACGAAGGTTGGCTCAACTTCTCCCGCTGGATAACTTCCATCTTAGCAGGACTGTTGGGTCCCATTATTTTGTTCTTTATTCTATTGATGGTGGGACCATGCATTATTAACAGGCTTGTTGCTTTCATTAAACAGAGGATCAATACAGTCCAACTGATGGTGTTAAGACAACAATACCAACAACTGCTGAGGGAAGAAAACATGACTCTTATTTAACCTCTTCTTTTTCCTCTCCCTAAGGTCAAGGCATTCAATTGACCCCGAGGGCCCAAACAATGCCATGTTTTTTAAGGCCATCAGGAAAAGATGGATCCCGACTACACATTGGAGTTGGATCCTATATCTGTATCCTAAAAAGTTTTGTATATGTTGTGCTTTGAAAGTCCAGTATGCTAATGTGAAAGAGCCATTCTGGCAGGGAGATATGGCTCTCCTAGTTGGATATTGCCCGGAACACAAAAAGATTAGAGAAACAACTTTTGATGGAGGAGAGCCCAATTGGATGCAAGGGGACGCCTGGACCGACTGGTTCCCCCCTCTCCCAGGCCACTAATTACCTAGTCCACTTGTTGTGTCACTATCCCACCATCCCTGTGATACCCAAATGGCTACAAGAGGGAATCCACACCTCTGAGTCCCACCTAGAATATAGTATCAGGCAGAATGACCCTTTCCGGCTTTATTGGATTGTGTATTTCCTGGAGACATTAGAAGTCCACCCTGTAGACCCTAGAGCAAAATGTCTGTATGCAGATTTAGTTAGAGATCTGTGCCCAATCTATCTTCGAAAAAACCAACCTTGGGATTGTTGTCAGGTTCCTAAATATGTCTGCTCACATTCCCCTAGGACCCTCCAGGAACAAGCTGTGCAGGTCCTCCTGAAGGACACCAGAAAAGAGGTGACATTCAGGCTGTAAACATGAAAAAACTATCTCTGGCATAAACAGCACCAGACAAGGCCCCTGACCAGGACTCCTTGACAAAGATAGAGTCTTCTCCTTAGGTATTTCGTTGCCGCCATTCAGCAGAAAGCAGCTAAAGAGGACGACGACCTGTGCCCCAAGATTGGGTCCTATAGGGCCTCGAGAAGGGGGGGATGAGAGACCCCCCAAAACCCCCGACTCTGCACTTAGCATAGCTAACTCCATTTTGATTGCAGAAGCCCTTCTTAGAGCTGAGCTGTCCCCGATTTGAACCCAACCTGTCCTACTTAGAAAAGCAGTTAGAAAAACAGAATGTTAAGCCGCAGGGTGGAGGTTGGAGCACAGAGACCAGATGTGCAACTTATATAAAAACAGGTCTGTGGCTACCTGAGCATGACAGCATAACAGCCCGAGTTTGAACCCAACCCCTCCCCACTTCCTCAGGCTCACCCGCTTTTAAGCAACCAATGATATGTTAAGGAGTAAGACCCCATAGTTATAGGCCAATAAGAATAAGACACTTTTCAAGCCACCCTAACCCTATAAAAGTAGGCTGGATAAGTGGGTTGGGGCTTCCAGTTTGAAACTGCTGCATCGGTGACACTGGGGGTCCAGGCTCGAGCTTGTAATAAACTCCTTGTGTGATTGCATTAGAAGAGACTCCTCGGTGGTCTTTCTTGGGGCTTCGTGACTTGGGCACAACAGGTGCTAAGCTTCATTTAGTTGGTATATTTTTTTTCTTACTGTTTCTATTGCATTGCCTATTATTTGGTTGATCAGCACTTTTTGTGTCTTCTTTGGTTGTCTTTGGTAACTTATATGAGTTGAGGAATGTATCTATTTCATTACAGTTTGTTGAAATATTTTCCAAAGTACTTAGTATCTTCTTGATTTCAGCAGCATCTGTTGTGATTTCTCTTTTTTTTCACTTCTACTTGCATTGATGTCTTTTCTCTTTTTCTCTAGGTAAGTCTGGCTAAGGGCTTATCTACTTTGTTTATTCTAAGAACCAGCTCTTCAATTTGTGATATTTGTATGTTTTTATTCCCAATTTCATTAATTTATTATTAATGTTTATAATTTCCCTCCCTAATTTTTTATTTGACCCAGATTGTTGTTTCTCAAGCATCTTAAATTTTCTCATAGGTTATGTATTTCACCTTACTCAGTTTTCCTAATGTGAGCATTGATTGCAGTGAACTTTCCTCTAAGGACTATTTCATAGTGGCCTAAAGTTTACAGTGACTTGTACAGTACAGGCATTGGGATTAACTTCCAGGAATGTTTATATTTCTCCCTTCTTTCTTCTATGACCCATTTTTTATTTAGAAGTAATGATTAATTTTCCAGGTTCTTCTAGCTTTTCTGTGATTTCTTCTGTCATTGATTTCTGTTTTCATTCTATGGTCCTCTCATAGTACATGTGGATGATTTTGATTCTTTTATTTATTTGAGCAGGCTTTATGGCCTACTGTGTGTAATCCTGCCCTGGTGCATCACGGCATCAATGGACCATTGAGATTTTAGCTGTGACCAAGGTGAAAACAGAGTTATATCTCCACATGTCATAGCTGGCCTGTAGGCAGGAAAACTAGACCTAATCTAATTTCATTGTGAAATTATTTTTCCCCAAAATTACATAGAACTGCTTCCCAAAAAATCTATGTCTTTTAATTAGAGAGCTGAGGCCATAAATATGGAAAAATATTGCTGTGTTAATTAATTACTACCATTTTATTCTTTCTCTGTTAGTGACTACTTTGTTTTTCTTTTCCTGTCATTTTTGTTATTGTTTACAAGTTGACCTTGCTTTCTGTTTTCATTTCATCTGGGCTTTCAGCTATACAGACACTAGTCATTTATTGACTTAAGTTTTTGTAATGTGAGTAGTTTGTTAAATAAATTGTATAGAGGAAATGTATAGGGTATGAGGAATTGTATTGAGTATGTACATTACAATATTCAGAACAGAAAAAATAGTCAAAGGAAATTCAAACTTGACTTTGCTTTTATTCTCATAAACTTATATGCAGCACTATAATGTATAACAATATAAAACTATAGTACTATACTTAACAGTGCAATCAGCAAAAATTACAGTGCTTTATAAATGAAGGTGTTATGTACAAAATAAAGACATTGAGGCTCCTCTAACAAGATGTACAGAACTTTACAAAAACAAAAGACAGGTAATAAGTCTGAGCAGTTGGTTGAAAGCATTAACTGTGTATCTCTGTCATAAGTCTCACCAGTCACTAAATGGGTAGCTTGTTAAATGAGTAATATATGCATTAGGCATCATATCAAAGTAGAGGAAAATGATTTTTTTTCCTTGTGATCTCACACTCTCCAGTAACTTTTAAAGTACAATACAGCACCAACCAACAAATCACATTAGCTGGTTTCAGACAATATTGACCCCACACATATCAGCAAAAGCAGAAAAACAATCAGAAAACCCAGGATATCTCATGATATCGCAATCATATAGAAAGTGCTCATCAAAAATCATGATTTCAAAATAGTTGCAATCCAGATATGATCTTTAGGAAATCATTAAAGCATCCAGTCCTATATTTCCTTATATGTTCTCTGGTGACGTCTTAGCAGTGTCCATGAATTCTTCAAGGTTATATTGATCACACAGTTGATATTACTAGAAGCCATGGCTTAAAATGCAATTTGGGCTTGTTATAAAGGAACTTCTGCAGGTCATTTCACGGAACCAATGCAACTAAAATATCACTATGAATGTATCACAGAACTATGAGCCTGCTTGACTCTGTAAAACTCACTGGAAATGGCAAATATCTTTGATAGTGAAACTGGCATTAATGGAACCACTGTTCTGTCCACTGCAGTAAACACATTGGAGAATAAAAGATATAGATATAATACATATTTTGAAGACATTTGTCTTTTCATGAATTCTGTGTTTATTTGCACAATGTATTTAGTAAATGTGCCTTAAATACAATAGACTGCATGCATTCTTCATTTCATGACTGAGTCCTGTTCCTGTGATTAGGTGGCTAATGAATGAGGTGCTAATTGAGGAACTGTAGGCAGTATGTACTTAATATCCAGGACCATGAACCATGCTTTACAGAGAATACAGAAATAAAACTGACATTAACTAGGAGAACCAGTATTCCCATCCTGCTGTTTCTTTAGCAATGAATTCCCACCTAGCATCAAAAGTCCTGTGTGAAAAGCACACATGAATAAGTCTTTGATGATCAAAGCATGAAGTAACCATTTGTGGGACTCAGCCTCATTTCAGGTCTTTATGAGTAGATTTAAGATATATTGTTCTGTGAGCCTTACTCTTCTTTCTGGAAATATATTTCTGATGATTTAGAAGGCAGTGACCTTTGAGGATGTGGCCGTGAACTTCACCATGGAGGAGTGGGCTTTGTTGGATCCATCAGAAGAAGCTTATATTGTTCTGTGAGCCTTACTCTTCTTTCTGGAAATATATTTCTGATGATTTAGAAGGCAGTGACCTTTGAGGATGTGGCCGTGAACTTCACCATGGAGGAGTGGGCTTTGTTGGATCCATCCCAGAAGAAGCTCCACAGAGATGTGATGTGGGAAAACTTTACAAATGTGACTGTTATAGGTAAGGAAGACATCAGTTATCGTTTATGCAGCCAGGGAGCATTGTTTCCCACTCATCATACAGTATATTATAATTGGAAATATTTTTGATAAATCTTCCAAGCATGGTCATATTATACCAAGAATCTAACTGGAAGCTGGTTATTTTTATGTAATATTGTAACTGATCATTATATTTCTTTTTCTGCACTTTAGGAAGAAACGGGGATGACCAGCAAATTGAAGATGAGTTCAAAAATTACAGGAATAATCTAAGGTAATCTGCACTCACAACAGTGTTCCTAAAAGGTCAGGAATATCAAAACCAAGAAAACTGCATGAATGAGGCCATGTTTTTTTTTTTTGTTTTTTTTTTTAAAAAAAGGAGCCTTGGATTTAGCTCAGTGGTACTGCCTCCTGCCCCACAAGTGCAAGGACCCGAGTTCGATCCCTCATACCAAATAAATAAATAAATAAATAAATAAAATTTTTAAAAAGGAAAAGAGACCCTGACATGGTGGCATTTGCCTGTAATCTAGCACTTAAGCAATTGAACAGGAGGATTGCCAGGCTTTCCAGGCCAGCCTGTGCTACACAATGAGTTTGAGGCTGGCCTGAACTACATAGAAAGACCTTGTCTCCAAAATCAAATGAACAAAATGAAGCTATGCTCAGATTCCTTTAATCACACATAACTTCTCCAAAGATGCATACATGTTTAGTATCTAGACTCTGACAATTGAATATTTGAACTATCTCAATATATGAAATTTATGCCACAAGTAACACTATCTGATTATAATAATAAGCATTTTACATGCTCAAGATTATAAAACATATGGAATTGTATTATGAATTGATTAAAGGTATAGACAAAAAAATTCTGTGTAGTTGAGAACCAAGTGCAGGATATATAATTACATATGGATATATTTTCAAAAGACTACTTACCAAACAAATTATGTAAGTAATGCTATGTATATTTAAATGCAGTATACATATTCAGCATTTGCAACACTAGTAACCTTGAGAAACTATTCAAAATCCAAATAAATGTTCTTGTTTTCATAATATCTGTTTTCAAGCAATCCTCAAAAGCCTTTAGTCCATTTATGTTCCAAAATACAGCATTGTCAGGCATCTTCCATAATGTTGGTGGGAATGTCATTGTAGCATAGCATCTATGAAAATGTGTATAAAAATTCCTAAAAAAAGTGAATATCGAAATTCCATTTTATCCAGCTATACTTCTACTGAGTGTATTCCCCTAAAGTGTAAAGTAATCATATTACACTGATACATGCATATCCATGTTTATAGCAGTAAAACTTACAAAAATGAAGCTCTGAAAACAGCCTCGATGCTCATTCAGAGACGAGTAGAAAAGAAAAATGTGGTAGCCTGGGCAGGATGGAGCTTACTGGGAAGCTGAAGCACATTCATGCTCTGCCTGGGCAACGTAATGGTTGGTGAGACTCGGTCTCTTAATAAAAGATAAATAACTCTAAGAATGTAGCTCAGTGCTAAAACCCTGGGATCAGTCGCCAGCACTGAAAATAATGTGTGCACATAGAGGGATGGAATTCAACCATAAATGATGTAATTTGCTGACAAATGCATGGATCTGGAATCCATATTACTATACATACAATAAACACGGTAAGTTCAATATCATACAAAATATATGAGAAATGCAAAATGTGATTTAAGAAAAGAAAGCGGAGACTGTAGAAAAGAGAGTCAGATGTAGGAGAAGGTGAAGAGGCTTAGTGGAAGGGAAAGGGGTAGAGTCATGGAGGAAAAGAGTATGAAAAATAATTAACTTATGGTAACATACACGTATATGTACCAATTGCTCCAAATGAAAGTAACCAGTGTGTATTGCAAACATCACTTACAAACCCCCAAAGGAATACTCTTTTTGGTAAAAGCTGTTTTTGGTAAAACCCATCATCCAGAGTGTACAGTAAATTCATGTTCAAATATGCTTAGGGGCTATCAAATCAGCTCTCCCCCTGATAAACCATTAATATAGAGACACTTCTTTTTTCCCTTTAAGCTTGTTGGTACATTTTAGTTATACAATATAGTTGCGTTCATCATTGGGATATTGTACCTTTACATGATGCGTCTCGGTTCTTATTTTTTCCCCATTCCCCTGCTCTTCCTTCACCCCCTACACCCCTCTCTATTTATAAAAAATTTGTTTCCATTTTTTCCTTTTCTCATATTTTTTCTTTTCTTTTCTTTCCTTTACCCTATCGCTCCCATTTCCCATACTCCTTTGCCCTATTTCTATTTTACATTACAGTTATACATTTTGATCCTTATTTACGCTTTTTGTTTTTCACACAGAAACTATTCAATATTTATACGCATGTGCCCTGTTTATTTCACTTAAAAGTATGGCCTCAGTGTGCATCCATCTAGCTATAAATATTTCTAGTTTTTCATTCTTTATGGTTGAGTAGTACTCCATTTTATTTAAAAAATCTTTATTCAGTCTCCAGTTGATGGGTAATTAGGCTGTTTCCAAGTTTTAGCTTTTACAAACTGTGCCGCTATGAATGTGGGTGTGCCTATATTGCTGTGGTATGACTCTTGATTGTTTTGGGATTATACCCAGCAGGGGAATAGCTGGGTCAAATGGGACCTCTAATCCTAGTTGTTTGAGGTATCTCCATATTGATTTCCATAGTGGTTGCACCTGTCTGCACTCCTGTCAACAGTGGAGAAGGGTTCCTTTCTCCCCACATCCCTGCCAGCATTTGTTATTGGTTGATTTCTTGATAGCAGCCATTCTTTCTGGGGTGAGGTGGAATCTCAGTGTTGTTTTCATCTGCATCTCTCAAATGACGAATGATGTTGAACATTTTTTCGTATGTTTATTTGCTGCTTTTACGTCTTTGTCTGAGAAATGTCTGTTCATTTCAGATGCCCATTTTTGAATCGGGTTGAAGACACTTTTTAATGTGACTTTTTTTTTTTCCTTGACAGAAGTTCAGAGGTAGATAAATGCTGTAAATTCAACACTGATCTCAAATCGTATGAGCTTCATGGGTTTGAACAGATCCTTTCTAATTGTAACAGACTTGGGGAAGCCTTCACTCACTCTCAGTCCTTAAAGAAACATGCAAAGACAAATATTGAAGAAAAACACTATGGATATAACCAATGTGGAAAATCCTACTCTGATTGCACTGAAGGAAGTAATGCTGAAGAGAAATCCACTGTATATAAGCAAGATGTGAAAAACTTCAGTAAACCTAACTATGTTAAAATCCATGAAAGAAATCACCGTAGGGTGAATACCTATCTAGGTATACAAAGTGGAAAAAGCTTGAATTCTCACCATGATATTCAGAATCATGAAGGAATTCACACTGAGACAAAATCTTATGCATATAAACACTGTTCAAAATCCTTAAATAATAATACTTTATTTGGTAATCAGAAAAGAACTCTCACTGGGGGAAAACCCTACCTATGTAAACAATCTGGAACAGCTTTCAGCACACAGAGTCATTGTGAAAGACATAAACAAATTCACAGTGGGGATAAATCCTATGTATGCAGTCAGTGTGGGAAAGCTTTCAGGAAACAGAGTCATTATCAAAGACATGAACGAACTCACACTGGGGAGAAACCCTATGTATGTAAGCAATGTGGGAAAGCTTTCAGCACACAGAGTTATTGTCAAATGCATGAAAGAACCCACACTGGAGAGAACCCTTATGTATGTAAACAATGTGGGAAAGCTTTTACGACATACAGTTATTGTCAAATACATGAAAGGATCCACACTGGGGAGAAACCTTACATGTGGAAGCACTGTGGGAAAGCTTTCAGGAGACAGAGTCATTATCAAAGCCATGAAAGGACCCACACTGGAGAGAAACCCTATGTATGTAAGCACTGTGGCAAAGCTTTCAGTGGGCACAGTCAGTGTAAGATACATGAAAGGACTCACACAGGGGAGAAACCCTATATGTGTAACCAATGTGGGAAAGCTTTTCGCCACCACACTTCATGTAAGATACATGAAAGAACTCACACAGGGGAGAAGCCCTATATATGTAAGCAATGTGGGAAAGCTTTCACCACAAACAGTTCTTGTCAAATACATGAAAGGAACCACACAGGGGAGAAGCCCTATGTATGTAAGCACTGTGGGAAAGCTTTCAACACACACAGTGAATGTAAAAAACATGAAAGAACACACACTGGGGAAAAGCCATATGTATGTAAACAATGTGGGAAAGCTTTCCGCACAAACAGTTATTGTCAAAGCCATGAACGAACTCACACTGGGGAGACACCCTATGTATGTAATCACTGTGGGAAAGCTTTCATTGGGCAGAGTCAATGTAAAATACATGAAAGGACTCACACTGGGGAGAAACCCTATGTATGTAAACAATGTGGCAAAGCTTTCAGCACACATAGTTATTGTCAAAGTCATGAACAAACTCACACTGGGGAGACACCTCATGTATGTAAGCAATGTGGGAAAGCTTTCATCTCAAACAGGAATTGTCAAATACATGAAAGGATTCACACTGGGGAAAAACCCTTTGTATGTAAGCATTGTGGGAAAGCCTTCACCAAACACAGTTCTTGTCTAATACATGAAAAGAACCACACTGGGGAGAAACCCTTTGTATGTAACCAATGTGGGAAAGCTTTCAGCACACACATTTATCTTAAAAAACATGAAAGAACCCACAGCAGGGAGAAACCTTATGTATGTAAGTATTGTGGGAAAGCTTTCAGGACACACAGTAACTGTCAAATACATCAAAGGACCCACACTGGGGAAAAACCATATGTATGTAAGCAGTGTGGGAAAGCATTTAGCACACACAGTTATTGTGTAATACATGAACAAACTCACACTACAGAGAAACCCTATATATGTAAGCAGTGTGGGAAAGCTTTCAAGACACAGGGTTATTGTAAAATACATGAAAAAACTCACACTGGGAAGAAACCCTATGTATGTAAACAATGTGGAAAAGCTTTTACCACAAACAGTAACTGTCAAATACATGAAAGGACCCATACTGGGGAGAAACCCTATGTATGTAAGCAGTGTGGGAGAGGTTTCACCACGCATGGTTCTTGTCAAATACATGAAAGAACCCACACAGGGGAGAAACCGTATGTATGTAAACAGTGTGGGAGAGCTTTCACCACGCATGGTTCTTGTCAAATACATGAAAGAACCCATACTGGGGAGAAACCCTATGTATGTAATCAATGTGGGAAAGCTTTCAGCACACAAAGTTCTTGTGTAATGCATGAAAGGACCCACACTGGGGAGAAACCCTATGTATGTAATCAATGTGGGAAAGCTTTTGGAACACATAGTGGATGTAAAAAACATGAAAGGACTCACACTGGGGAAAAACCATATGTATGCAAGCAATGTGGGAAAGGTTTCACCACACACAAGTATTGTCAAAGTCATGAGCAAGGTCACACAGGAGAGAAACCCTATGAATGTAAGCAGTGTGGGAAAGCTTTCAACACACACAGGAGTTGTCAAGGGCATGAAAGTAATCACTCAGTGTAGGAACCCTGTGGAAAAGGGTTTTTCCCCTTTAAGCAATACGGAAAAGCCTTTCAGTTACTGTAATCATAAGACACTAAAAAATTTAAGAGAGGAAACTAGCTTTGACTGTATAAAGTGACTTGCACTGACAAAAGGACAGTTCAGAGAATCCCCTTTTTTGTATGCAGTATAAGAAAAATTTTCAGTATACCTGTATTCTTACATACCTGAAACATACATAGAATAGAGAATCTGGACATATGTGAACAGTGTAGAAAATGTTCTCTTTTGCTTAGTGCATATAAGTTCATTAAAAATTCATGGAAGCCATATCTATGCAATAAATGTGGAAAACCCTTCTAGTTTTCCATTTACCTTAAAAATCTTGAAAGAGCTGCCACTGAGGAGAAAGCGTGTAATGTAGGAATGCTCTTCATGATTCTCATAACATCAGAAAACATGCATAAACTCAAAATGAGATTTAGTTTACCAAATGTGAGATGTGAGGAAGCTAAGTATCAGAATGAAAGAGACAAGTGTATTAGGGATGAGATACACTTTCAAAGCACACAAGCAGAGACAGTCTTCCCCTAGTATATCTGGATTAATGAACTGGTGAGGTTGAAAAGCACACGATAATGTTAAATTCAGAATAACAAAGCAGCTTGCGTCCAAGTCTTCAGTACACGGCCTTTAAGGGACATTTTTACATGCAAACCATTGTCTTAGTCATATGGGTAAAGTTTATTCATAACAGCGAAATTTTATTGAGTTTTAAGAAGTCCCTCATTTGTGACAATGTAGATTAAACAAGCCATTGTGTGACATGTCATGCATAGGCAAATTAAAGCTTGATCATCTTTGCTGTTAGTGTCTAAAATTTACAATTTTAAAAGAAGCAGGATGTGTAGTGATGGTTGCCACATGTGGGAGTGGTGAAGTTGAAAATGTTAGTGAAAAATCCCAGTATCTTCCTTTAAAACACAAGATGCCGTGGATCCCATAATGACTACAGACCGAAGCAGTACCCCGTAGCATTACAATTGGCTCAAAGTTGATTGTGTTAGGTGATACAAATTCTACCAAAGAAGAAAGTAATTTCACAATATAAACAGGATCAAATAAATGATTTTGCTATTTTTTTTGTTTAATGAAATTAATACAATTAAATGTAGCAAAAATGACTGGACTGTGGCTTCATGGTGTGTATACAGAATCTCTCTTTAATTTTTACAAATGTAATTTAGTTTGTACTGTATTTATTTCTGAAAGTATTCAGTATCAGTTGGCCCAAAGGTTGTGGGATTTTGTTAAACTGAAAGTTTTCAAGCTTTCAGTATTTTAGTGAACTTTATACTTGCTTCACTGGAAATGTAAAATAGCTTTTGAGGGTCTAATTTGGAAACAGTTGACATTGTCATGAGTTTATTTTATCTCATTTTGACAGAAAGTTGTTACGTGTGTGTGGGAGGGGTGTGTTCAGAAAGCTCTACATTTTAAAACAACTTCCGCTTGTTTGATTTAATTCACATTTTCAAGGTATATCCATTTTCTTTCAAATGTCTTGAATTTATCCTTCTTTACAGTCTAGTATACCACCATGTATAGATAACGTCTTTTCTTCATTCATCTGTTAATGAACACATATGAGGAAGCAGTTCATTGGCAAATGACAGGGGATCAGGAAGCCAAGGATAGGAGGAAGGGGACATAAAAAGATTTACTGTCATCGACTAACTATGCACAGTGAATGCAGCCTTTATATCATGATTATGAAGTAAATAATGATAATAATTATGATGATGAAATGGGGAAGGGGGATCTGGAACCGGAATGAGGGTGGTAGGTAACAATGGAAAGAAAAATCTTAAGAATCAAAACGTGAAGTGTGGCTACTCCGTAAGATGAATGTGGACGTATAATACAAACAGGTACTAGGTAAAAAGCCTAATACTTAAATACTTAGAGATATTTCATACTTTTTCTGCTTCCTAATGATGTAGGAGCAAATGTACTGAAAATATTATATGAAGATGCCTTTGGGTCTATTTGATCCAAACTTCATGTTGCAGGTTTCTTTAGTTTTTAATCCCACATGAACATTTCTCTTTGTCATAGGCACCAAGTGTGTTGATACAGACTAAGCAGGAATCCATCACATGCACATCCCTTGGTTACACATGGCAGCGATTCTGTAGTTTTGCAATGCAGGAAAAGTAGGTGTACTCACGCAGCAGGACGTGTGCATCTGTCAGGTTGCATTAGCAGATGGAAACGTTTTTTTTTCTTTTCTTTTCTTTTTGCATCCTGCCATGGCTGTAGAGATACCATGCCATTCACCAAAATACATTTATTGACCCTGTCTTAGTTCATTGTATCAGAGCTAACCAAAATGCAACAGGGTTCACTTTATGAAACGATTGTCACAGTTGTGAACCCTAGGAAATTGACATCAAAGCTTGGCAACTTCAGTCTCTAATTAGATGCTGTTTACATATAGTGACTTCTAGCTACGTTCTTCCAAGTCAGGGAGGTTTATGAGATATCTCTGGCCTCTCTCTTATGTGAATATGTGTCATTACTGAGGGTTACTAACTCATGAGACAAATTCTAGAGACCCCACCTCTGTGTACCATCACCTTGGGAATTAAGTTCTAAAATACGTATTTTGGGGTAACTACACATTCAGAACAAAGAAACCCATTATATGAGGTTGAATTGTGTGTTGAGCAGTGCAGTAGATTGCATGAGGGTTCTTGTGTCCTCCAGCAGTTTTTATGCTGATCTACAATACACAGAAGTATTTTGAGTACAGAAATTTAAGCAATCTTTTTCAATTAGAATTTAGAAGAAATAATGAGATTGTAGATGTCATGAACGGAATTAGGCACAAAGTATTCCTGAAGGAAAGACAAGTTTGAGCACCATTTATTTTGAGTTCTTCAATGTAAATAGTAAAAGTAAATGACAAGGGATTTTTGCCAGGCTCATAAAATAAGGTTCCATGTTATCAGTTCCTCCTGCTTCCTGAGAAGGAACAGAGTAATTGATGTATATCCTTTTTTCAAAATTTAAAGAGGGAAAGGTTTATTTGGCTTATACTTTGTAGAGATTTCATTCCTTAATTGGCTGGCTCCAAGGCAGGGTGGCAAAGCAGTTCAGGGTGGCGAGAGACAGCAGAAGCAGAAAGGAACCTTAACAATGTCTCTGCCCCTTTTATGTTACTCAGACTACATAGGGCAGGTAGCATTCACACTCTTAATCCTATTGCTCTTGGACCTAGCATTGCACCATGAATCACACACTCTAGATTCAGCCAGCTCCAAAATAGCCCCGCCTCATTCATATGAGGCTTGGGGGGAGGGTTATCTAAATACAAGACATAACTTTCCATCCCTGCCCCTCCCCCAAAGACTCATACAGATCTCTATGCTAAAGTAATTTAGTCCATCTCTAAAAGTTGCCCCAGTCCTCACAGTTTCAGCACTGCTGAAAAGTCTCTGAGATTTGGGTCAAACTCTTAGCTGTAATCTCCCATACAAATCAAAAGAAAGTTAAACATTTTGAGCATTCAATGGCACAAGATAGACATTACCATTCCAAAAAGTACAAATAGGGGAATATAATGGAATGAGACCAAAGCAAATCCAAAATCCAGCTGGGCAAGCACATTAAATCCCACATCTTCACTTCCAGCATCTCCAGCAATCTGTGGCAAGTTGTGAACTCCACAGGCCTTGGGTGGCTCTATCTCTATGGCACTGCAGATGATTGTAGTTCCCACAGCTTCTCTCTTGGGCCATTTGTTTTCCTTCTTGCAGCTTTCTTCAGAAGATCCATACTCCTAGTTTCTCCAAACTTCTGGGGTCTCCACTGTATCTTCAGCTTCACACTTACAGCTTCACTGCCCTCTCAGGGGCACTGCTTGGCCTCCCAGGCCTCCTGAAATCTGGGTAGAAGCCCATGACCCCACAACTCTTGCATTCTGCATGCACCTAAAACCAGTACCACGTGGATGATACCAAGGTCTGCTGCCAGCTGGAGCAGTAGCTAGTTTTCCTTCCCTCTTGGCTGTAGGGGTTGAGTGCTTGGGTTGCTGAGCACTCCAAATCCAATTCCAAGGAATAAATTCTGTAGACCTCCACCATTCTGGTATATGGTGCTCATGGGCTCACTTCTAAAGGAAAGCCTTTCATTTTTATAATCTTGAGGCTGCAAAAAGTGGAGTCATGCTGCTTCTTGTGATTTCCTCAGGCCATCTTTTTTAGTCTCCTGTTCTTTCTCATCAGTTAAGATCTCTGTTCTATCTTTGCAGTCCACAGCTTTACTTGAGCTTCTTTTCTGGCCAAACTCAAAACATCTTAAATCATTCTACTGGGCTCTTTCTCTTGATTCTTAACATAAATTTGGTTAAAATACCCCACCCAACAGTGGCCATGCCATCACCTCAACATTAGACTGCCTGAAGATTTCTACAGCAAGTTTAGTTAATTGGCCACCTTTAACCTCAGTCTCAGGCAAAGTCTCTGGACATGAGCAAAATACAGACAAACTTTTTGCCAAGCTATAACACAGATTTTCTGGAGTCCAAGAGCCAGTGCAGTCCTTCCCAGAAGAAATCTCCTGAGCCTGATCTTTACTGGCTTTCCAATCTTCTGAGCTCTGACTAGAATCTCCCAGATGGTACAGTCTAAAGAGTCCCAGCTCTACTTCAGCCTGCATTTCCAAACCTTTCCTAACTCTTTCCCCTTCCCACAGCCTGTTCCAAAGGCTCTTGAGCTACATGGCCAGGTAGTGTCACAGCAATGACCTCACTTCTCTGGTACCAAATTCTGTCTTAGTTAATTTCTCTCATTGCTGAGACAAAATACCCAACACCTAAAGTTAAAGGGGAAAGGTTTATTTGGCTTACAGTTCATAGAGGTTTCAGTCCATAATCAGCTGGCTCCAAGGAAGGGTGGGAGAGGAGCAACAGTTTACGTTGGCAGAACACAGCAAAAGCAAAAAGAGAACCTTACCAGTGTCTTCCTGCCCCTTTTATCTTATTCAAAATGTGAGGGCAGGTAGAGCTCACACCTTTAATCATAGTGCCTGCAGGCCAAGCACTGTACAATGAATCAATCATACACTTGACTCAACCAACTCTGAAAAAGCCCCACCTCAGACTAAAGATGAAGCTTTAAGGGGATATCTAAACAGGAGGCATACCAGTGGTCTACATTCAGAAAATGTTTAATGATGTCCTCTCTCACATGCATTTTTTTCATTGAGTTTATTGGTACATTTTAGGTATACAGTGCAGTTACATTCATCATTGGAATCTTGTATCCTTACATGACAGGTCTTGGTTTTCGTTTTTCTCCCATCCCCCTTCCCTCCCTTTACCCCCTCCACCCCTCTCTATTTACAAAGACTTTGTTTCCATGTTACTTTTTCTTTTCCCTTATTTCCTTTTCCCTACCCATCTCACTTCCCCCACACCTTTAGCCCTTTCTTCCTATGTCACATTATTAGTTATACAATTTGGAGCTTATTTACACTTTTAATTTTTCACACCAGAGAAACTATTCAGTATTTACACGTGTGTCCTATTTATTTCACTTGAGTATGGCCTCAGTATGCATCCATTTTCCTATGAATGACTCTAGCTTCTCATTCTTTATGTCACATGCCATTTCTTCAAACCATTTTCTCTTCCACTAGGGCTGTTTCAACATGGCCTGGAAAATTCCTTTGTGTGATTCAAACTACTCCAAGTAAAATGCCACCCCATTTACTAACCTAGTGAGATTCACATTCCCTTTTTTGTGTTCTCACAGCATCTTGTCCTTTAAATTTTTTTTTCTCATATTGCCACCACTGTGAGTTTCATGCTTATTTTATTTGGAAATATTACACATGCTGAGAGACAGGAATGACTATGAACCAAATTCTTCCGTGCCCTCAGCTACTAATGGTTCGAACTGAGAAATTCACATACATTGAGCATGACAGATTGCAATAAATTATGGGAAGGTAAGGTAGGCATTCATAGATGTTTACTAATGGTGAAGTACCATGCTGGGGATTGAGAGAGACGTCTATCTGGAATTTGTAATATTTAAATGAGACCCAAATCA